CCCTCCTTTTTGTAACCATCGTTTTTACCCTCCTTTTTGTAACCATCGTTTTTACCCTCCTTTTTGTAACCATCGTTTTCACCCTCCTTTTTGTAACCATCGTTATTGTTGTTATAGTCATTACCATAATCACCACCACGATAGTCATCATTACGACAGCTATCGTAATCATCTTGATTGTCACCGAAATAATTATCACCATCGTAATATTTGTCATTGGTACGCTTCCAAGAATCGTGACCAAACCAATTTTTCCAAGATTTACGTCCGTACATATTGTACTTTATTTTTCCATCTCTATATTTTCCGTACTATAAATATTAGATATTAGATAGTGAGATATAATATACGTACAACTTATACAACTTGTGCTATTGTAAAAAAAAATTGTTTTAGAAACGTACCACTGAATCGTAATATCCAAGATTTTTGCAGACGATGAGAACTACGACTATATTTTGTAAATTTAATAAAATTGTGAGAAATAATTTGCATACCAAAGTCAGGTGTAATTGTTAAAAATCATTACTTACCATTTTTATCATCTTTATTATTTTTCCCTTTACCATCCCGATAATTTTTTGAATCCCAAACTTCTTTCGAATCTTTTGAATCTTTTGAATCTTTTTGTTCTTGTTGTTGTTCAATTTGGTCATCTTGTTGAGCAACAGTTTCTTGAGAAGTCCAACTAAATTCCATATCCCATAGATTTGTGCCGGCGCTTTCACATTTCACATCTAAACCATAGTTATTAGCCAATACGGGAGAATTAATCGACGTAAAGGCCAAAAGACCAAATATGATAAAGAATAATTGAGAGGATTTCATGTTTTTATTTATATATACGAAAAATACAATTTTTCGTAATTTTTTAATTTTTTTTTTTTATTTGGAGTTAAACGAGTGCGTTTTTTTCTTTTTAAAGGATCGTGGGAAGTAAATTTTTATTTTTATTTTTTTTTTGTTTTGTTGAGGAATGCTACCCACGAGCTTATAAATAATTTTCATTATGAATATAATCTAGATATTATTATCGTTCGAAAACGATTAAGGCCGAAAATGTATATCCATGCTCAATGCGTTTTTTTT